TGATAGATATCGTTATCGCCTGAAATGAAAAAAACATATCGTGATATGAAAAAATCTCATATCGCCCAGCTCTACTTAGGCCTTTTTTCAGCAATTTTGCCTTTTTCTTTTTTTTTTTGCTTTGGTCATTCATAATCATCACAAACGGGGGTAGTTAAGACTTGGTGAATGTGAGTGTCATTCTACAGACACGTCTTAGCAAAGACCAACACAGCAGTTAAGACCAGCTGTTGAAACTTATCCAAGATCCTAATGGAGATAGATTACATGCCAACACATACCACACACAGGCAGTGTAGTTCAAGAACAGTGATGCGTGGCACAAATGTCCTAACAACTGCTAGTGAATGGTGCACTTTTGTGTTGTTTAGCCTTGTCGCATGGACAGTGTTATGGCACCTGCACTGAGACAAGACAACTGCATTTTTGCATGAGCATAAATGGTTATGTAGCATTCTGCTTGACAAATGACAAACACAATCGTGGCACTGCACATTCAGAACCTAAACAGTATTTTTATTTGTCTTCTTTAGACAAAGGTAAATCTTTATGTCGCTTGTTTTTAATACCAAAAGAAAAGGTGGTCACAAGATAGGAGACCTCCATGTATCTCCAGAACAGCTTCAGTCCATGTTGGCATTGATTCTCTCAGTGTTTGGAAGTCTACTATAGGAGCAAAAACACTGTCCACAGTGTTCGGCATCTGATAACCGAGGGGAAGAACTAACGTCTTTCCAAAAAGCCTACGATGACTTCTCCTTATTACACCCTTCAGTGATCTGCATTCCTGGGATTCAAGGGTTCACATTTGTCCTTTAATCACACTACTTTTTTTTTCCCAAATAGATGTCATTAATTCAAACCTTTACGGAAAACTAAAGAACATTATTGTGGAATATTTTCCAAGCCCCAGGATCAGGAATCAAAGACAAACATCAGTTCCACTCAAAACGCAGCACAAATGAAATTTAAAAAATAAATGAATTAAAAAAAATAACCTTCAATATGACTTCAATTTACTCTTTTTTTCCCCACTAATAACATTTTGTGCCGTTTCTGAATGTTTCTTCTCTGTGACAGAGGTCTGCAGCTCTGAAGCACAAATTAGCGAGTCCCCATTTTTGCTTACCTGGTAAGGGTGTACTCCCTGAGTCCTGAGTGCAGATTCATGGCAGAAAATGTACCTATACAACCCCTCAACCGCTTGTCTCTGCCTATTTTCCATGTGACAAACAGCGGGCTGAAAAACAACAGACGAACAAGATACTGTGTTAAAGTAGTTGAACATTAATGTGTTTACACAAGATGAGAAATGCCTACTCAGGGCTTATAAAAGCTCATTAGAAGTACACATCGCCGAGTTTTTTGCAGCTAGTAAGACAGACCTTTTCACATTGGACTGAAATGGGACAAGTGTCTCACATTATTACGGATTAATTGTCATCAAAGACTTTAGCCCATAGCACTGGGCCATCTGTCCAGCCACAACAGAATAACCCAAATCTCTTTTTGAAACAATGATTTTCTACACTTACTACATTTTCCAGCTTTTATGGTAGCGGGTAAAAAAAAAAAACATACTGGAAAAAAGAAACCAACTACACAAGGTTTTTGTTTGTTTTTAAATTCCTCATTGGACTCACTGTGTGGAAAAACACCGAATTACTTAGTTACATGCTGTTTCACTGGAGCCAAAAGTGCATTAGGCAGAGAACAGGACAGTAAAAGGTACACACCTCCTTTTGGTTTGCATACATTCATCAAGCATTGCTGAGTACAACAGTCAATGCTGGAAGGCATCATGGCATGTCCATGGCAAAAACCATGCAAAACCGGGTGTATGGCCCATGGAGAATTATGGAAATAAGAACACACACCCCATCTACCCTGCATACCTTTTTGTCATCTGTCCAATGTGTGTCTGAAACACTATACTTAAAGGTTTTGTTTTTGTCATCTATAGCTTCACATTGTAAAAAAACGAAAAGAAAATAATAAATACATAAATTTTATATACACACACTATATATGTATATTGCATCATGTACAGTCATTTGATTATGTAAAGTTTTATTCTCACATGCCACTGTAGGGCTCCAAATGATCTCTTTCCAGATTAAAACCACCAGTCAGATTCTAAGTACAGATAAAAATAATTCAGCATTCAATTCAAAATTCAGCATGACACTTTTACAGTTTAGCTACAAAGGTTTCACAGTATTATTATATCCCTGCCAAATTATTCAGTGACAGAAAAAGTCTTTTCCAGCATCTCTGAGTTCACTCCTAAAATATTGGACATGCGCAAAACCTAAGAAAAAAAAAAGGGTGTGTTTTATCTGAAAACATTTAAATGATATTTTATACAAATCAAAATGACTCCTGGTTCAATGAAGTTTCATTTATCAAAAAAAAAAAAAAATACATTTAAAAAACTAAAACTTAACTAGTTTAAGTGGCTTCAGCTGGCAACAGAAGTGAATGATTTTCTTCCGTTAGATGGTAATGTAGTCAAAAAAGGAGCCATTATCCATTTATTCTGGTAACGCAGTGGATCAGTACACTCAGAAACTTAGCATGATTTCTACATTTTAATTTATTTATTTTTTTAAATTGTAAACCTTAAATTTCAGTGGCTGCTTCACTTCAAAACTTTTACAAAATTTGTATCCAATAAAACATTTTATTAAGCAATGCCTACCCATTCAACATTGCTCATTCCTACTAGGGGTCCACTATGCGTGTAGTTCCCAAAGCGCATATGGATGCATCTCAAAACCAGCTCTCTGCTTTACTAACAACACACGCCGAGTCTATTTTTAATGGGAGCCGGGTCAAGCTGCACAAACCAGATGGTGAGGGCAGGAAGTCAGATGCAGGAACGGCACAGAGCATCCGGTCTGGAGTTTCAAATTAACCTCACCCAGACTAAAGGGTCTGGTATGATTTGAAAGAACTGAACAAAACGGTCACAGTCACGAGCACGCCATATTCCTGCTGTGTCAGCTAGCAGCTAGTCAGCTAATTTAGCTGACGAGCCTTGCTAACATGACTGTGGGAGCAGCTGGTGGACGGCATAATTTATTAGTCTCCTTGCAGTAAAAATACAGCAAATGTATTTTAAATACACTCAAATATTTCATTACATTTAAAGCGGATGCTAAATAGCTGTAAATCCAAAACTAGATAAACAGAAAAAAATGCAGACAATGTTTAATGTTGTTTGATCATTGAAATGGATGCACGGGAAACACAACAAACTCATGTTTATGTCTTCAGAACACACATTTTTATCCCTCAAAATTTTGATATCATCACAACTAATGTGACTTTGCAGAGCTGATCGACTAACTGCGCAGAGCAGTGCATCTATGTCAAATACAGCAGCATTGTTGCAGCATTTAAATAATTCAAACTGACAATGGCCCCAAGAGAAGGGCATGTCAAGGGCACCCAAGACCATGAGTTGCTCAAACCTGTGGGAGTTTTTCTGTGTGGCCATTAGCATGCTACATTCCTAGACACGAGTACATGTCTGGGTTTAATCTGAAGGTTAAGCCCTAGCCCAATGCTCAGCCTTAAAGACTGGCCAGCCAGAGTTAAAAATGGACAAGATTTGTGCCTTTAAGAGAGGCTCCCAAATGTAAATATTGCATGATCACTTCAGTAAATTTGTTCTGCTGTGGAGAATATACCCTTACTGCAATATTTAGAAAGTCAGCACCAAATACTCGCCATTTATTAAACTGCATGACACTTTGCTGGACACGGAAATATTCAGTAAATATGGGATTTACCAAGGTCTGTGCCCCATTGCTGGCATTTCAAATACTCATACTCTCCTTGCAGTGATGCACTTATCCTGATTACCAACGCAATGTCGCTTAATGTTTGAGGGTTTTTTTTTTGCTAAGAGTGGACAAGAGACTGTGGAGTCATTTGCACTAATTTTTTTTCACAGTTTTTCCTTCTCCATAGTCTCTTATTGGGAGGTACAACAGAAAATGTGGGCTTGAGTGTATCATCACTGGAAACACCAGTATGGGGGCCAACATGAGGAGAATTCTCTTATGAAGGATTTTTGCATTTGTCAGTGCAGTCCTGGAATTAATGAGCAAAAAAAATGACTACAACTTAAATATGAAAAATAAACATTTTTTAGTTTTACCACCAAGAATGCATTTCTTATTTAGCTTATTGTGCATTAGGTAAGTCTAGCAACATAAACTCTGGCCTAACAAGCTCTATCTATTTTGTCAGAGACATGTCAGGTGACACCCACCACTGAGTTTTGAGCAATCTGTATATTTGAATGTGTAAGCATTTCTGCCTACAGTTTTCTGACATGCAGTTGAGAGAGACTTGGAAATGTCTGACAGACTTCGAGGATGCCCTTTTATCATTAAAGATTCCTGCAAGCTGGATTTCCTTTCAGAGGTCAAGATGTCAAAATCAGCATCTCTGCATATTCAACACAATAAATGCAAATAAACACTTGCAAAAAGCAGTGTGTGTGTTACATATGTATTACAGTGTACACAGGGGACCGTTTGCCATGGTAGGTAATGATTTCCATAAACACTGGAATGTTTGAGCTGGTAGATACAAACAACCCACAGCATGCATACACCCAACATGTATACAGCAATGTAATTTATTGTCTGTCTAAAGGGATAAGAATGCCTCTGTGTCACGTGACAGTACAATGGAAAGACAAGATTTCTCATTATTTTAGTAATGATCACACAAGATCAAAAAGTTATTTCAAAGTCATCTGGTCTATTATATTTATAATGGTTAATGAAATTGTTGGGTAGGGCTGCCAATGTAAACAACCGTCTTACAGGCTTATGTTGGGTTAAACAACCGCAAGCCAGACGCTATAACATAAGGTGGAGACAAAATGTCTCGGTTGAGGGCGCAGGAATCATACATTTATTGATTTTTTTAAACAATTAATACAAAAAACACCTCGTTTAACGAATGCTTCGCATGGTTAAACAGCGAAACAGTTAAACTATCTTTTAGCTCTATTTATCTAACGCCGCCACTGCTCTTCTTTTATCGCCGGTTAAATTAAGCAAAGATTAGTGCTGCTATGTACTTAGCAAGCACCACCTTTTCTTTGTTGTTTGGTGCCAAAAATCGGGTATTTTTATGTGTTTCTACACTGGTCTTGTCCACACTACACAAAAACTTGCTGTGAAACCCGCCGGCTGGTTTCGTAGTCATGGTAGCCGAGGTTCTCAGCATATTTACCATTAATTTAATTCCTAAAAGCTTGTTAATACTTCGTTACTAAGCTAATGTAGCTCAAAGCTAACAAAGCTAAGCCTAGTATGTGGCAAAGCAGAGTTCATTCAGGGCGACTTAAAATATTCTTGATATTAACATACAAAATATTAAAAGTTAACACGTTGAGTCGTATGTTTCACCTAACGAAGCTATCGGTGTTAAACTAAAATAAAGTCAACGACGTTATCTTCGTTCAAACCTCTATGATTTTAGACTAAGTGGCTAGCTGGTAACAGCTAAAGCTAGTAGCAAACACCCTTAGCTTACGTTAGCAGTGTTATTAAAGAGTTCGTCTGACAGCACTGTAAACGGTTTCTTTCGCAAAGTGCCAACAGGAAATATAAGAGTGACCTTTCACTCTATCCAGTGACATAAAAGATTACTTTATAAGCACTATATCAAATTCGCTGTAGCGTTAGTGGTCAGCTAGTTTAGCGACAGGCCAGTGTAGACAGTCTCTTCGACAAGGCCCGATATTCCAACTTGGCCAATTCAAGCTGTATTCGCGAGCTTTTCGGTGTAAATTCACGAGAAGCAAAAGGGTGTTTCGAAGTGACAGTTTGTGTTCTCAAAACTGAACAGAACCCGGAGCTGAAGCCACGAAGCGTGCTGCCACATACATTTTCTGGGAGAATAGCATAGTGAGCCTTTGACATGCAGCAAACAACAGCAGACAAGAAAATACTCACTAGGGATCATTTGTAAACCTGGGTGTTCTCGGAGGTTGGTATCCGTACAGATGGCAATAAAGCACGTCAAAACAGAAGCAGCACATCTCCGCCGAAACGACCATTTTTCTGCCTCCACTTCCCGAACCAGGTCCTGGGCTGAGATTCGGGGAGAGGCCGGATGTATTATATCCGGCCGGGGCTGGGGACAGAGCGTTTGTGCCGCTGCTACCACTACTACTACTGCTGCCGCTAACGTTACCCCCGGGTCCCCCCAGGCCGTTGGCTCGGCTCACGTTCGCCGCCGCTGCAACTGTCGCGGAGGAGCCAATCCCCAGCTCCGAGCCACAATGTCCGGTTCCTGCCACCCCGCTTCCCGCCCCCACCCCGCCGGGACCCCCTGATCCGGGCGATCCCGACAGTTTCTGCTTCTTCACCCCGCAGCACCCGGCCGCCATCTTGGAACAATCTGCACCGACACACCGCTTCCGACCCATAACCGTCACCGCGGGAAGGGTGGGGGGGAACGCCGACCAGACGTAGAAATCCCACTGCGTTGATACGTACGACGGACAATACTCCACTTTCACTCTTTTATTTTTTGTCGGACGACGAAATAACCGATGTGGCGAGAAGACTGCAGTGTCACCCTAGCGTTGCCTTTAAAAATGCGTGACTTTGCTACGGAAAATCCATAGCTGGGATAAGCAGTTTTTTTCTCGAGTAGTTAGCCAGTCCAGCTTTGGATCTCGGTGTTCCAGTGGATCACCTATAACGTCAACTCCCAGCCTAATAGCCCCCCGTTCTCCCTAACACGACACCATCCGCATCCGAGGCGATCACAGTCAGTCCCCCTTAAAACACACAAGTTCAGGGTGGGCACGGTCCGAACAGGCCGCAGATGACAGTAGCCAAGCGGTCCAGATGTGAAGCCGACAGCCAGTGCGCTGTAGCCCCGCTGCACACCTCTCCAAGTGGAAGCCGGGAGCTTGAGTACGCAGGACCCATAAGCTTCAGCACAAATTGCGCACAGTGTCTTGGACAGCGTAGCCCCTCATTGCACCAGCTTGTTTGCTACTGCCTCACGAACTTCTAATTACACAACAGGCCCAGTATGTTGGAATTCCAGACGCTGGGATAGCGCAGAGTAAAATGGCATCTGACAATGCAGGGTTGTCATGGCACAATGAAACGCGTCAGCGCCCAGCAAGTCATATCAGTAACGTTAGCCCACAGTTTGCACCTGCATGATGCCTTTTTCTTGAATCTGGTGAGAAGGAGGGGGGAAGAAATCTCAATAACACCCCCGCGTCAAACGGACAGCTGAAAGTTTTCAGTATAGGTTTGTTTGGAGGTTGTCATCCGTTCATGGGGATACACAGAGAAGAGCATTCTAGTCCGTGAGCCGTGAGAAATCCTCTGGATTTGACGAGCCCCGCATCCGTCTCTCAGCTGCTACAATTCGGTGCTGTTCGGGTAAAAGCCCTGTGATCAGTCTGTGGGCACGGGCATCGGTGTCGTCGGCACACCGGAACCGGATTCAGAAAACGTGTTGCGCCCACTTGCTACACATAATGCGTAGCTTCTGGGGTATCAGATTTGCAATTCAGAAGAAGTGCACGGGGCCGTGGAAGCATGCGCGCTCTTGACGTCCATGCGTGTGTATGTGTATATGCGTGCGTGCATGGTAAAGTATCGGTGCCGACGCCCCCCAAGTTATAAAAGGCATAGGAGCCGACTGACTGCTGTAAACTGATTTGACAGTGTCTGGATTTCACAGCGCTGTGAGTTCGGATAAAGTTACGCACACCGTTGCACGTTCTTTTGAGAAACTGCCTCTAATGTAATCTATTCCGAGTGGCCGATTTGAAATGTGGCACACAGACATATCATATGGCCGCTCTCGGGGCTGCTGCTGCTGCTGCTAGAAATGTCGTGGCTTCATCTCATCCAGGACCCTGGAAGAGTAAACAAATAAATACGTCCACACACGTCTAATGTCGAGTTCTGTGTCTCCTGAATCGTTCTCTTACCCCACCTCCTTCCCATTCTGCCCTTCAGTCAGGAATTAATATATCAATAAAGAACGGAGTGGGTAGACATTAAACACTGCATGTACAGCAGAGGGAAATAATGCTTAGATGCAGTTGGGAAAGGACATCTTCTTTTCTACGGGATGTGGACAGTGAAATTAGCACCTTCACTCACTAGTATTCAAAATACTTGCAGTCAGCTACACAAATACACCTGCCATTAGGTTCACTTTCATTTGAAGGGGGATCGCTGATGTCTGTCATATTTAAGATAATTATTATTTAGACCATTTGCTGCTTTGAACCAGAGTCAAAAAACCAAATTTTTAACTAGATGCTTTGACCAGATTCAATTACATTTGTTTTACAATGTACTTTGTAAAGAAATTACATGCAAAATTTAAATGTGATCAAATTAATTAAAGTCAGCATTTTGGGCTTTGCCTGTGTGTAGGTCTTATCAACACCTACTCCATGATGCAAAAATGAACAAAAATATAACATTCTCATAGATATGTGAACATAACAATAATAACAGGCGACAGTAATATCATTATGACCACAGTGAGAACTCAGCAAAACAGAGAAGTCAAACCACTTATTTACCAAGCCAGCTCTTCCTCATATTCTCTGTTTTTTGTTTTTATACAGCTGTGTGAACATAGGCAGTGACATGCAAGTTTTTGTTTCCTCTGTGCAGTTATTCCGCAGTTTTAGTCTCTTGACTGTAATACTGAAATATTTACCATAGGTTCTTACAGCCTGTTTATTAAATATATAGTTTTATGATACTACGTGATGTTTTTGTCTAACTTGAAACAAATTCTTTATATTTGTGCGTTTGGACAGTTTTAAGCTCAACCAGGTCATTAAATTAAAATGTTCATCTTTAATTTACTTAACTCTTTCCCCGGTGCATTCAGAAGTTGTTCCAAATTATTATCACAACATAGAAGTTTGGTGTCATCTGCAAATAATATTGTTTGTAGTGATCTGGAAATTACACAATGTCATTAATGCATAAAATGAACAAGAATGGTCCTAATACAGATCCATGAGGAACCCCCCAGTTTTAAGTTGTTTGTTATTAATTTGAACAAAAGATGTGTTTGATAAAAGGAGAAAAAGATGTATGTTTGTCAGTATAAATTTATTTAATTCCATTTTATATGTGTTGTATTATCATTTACCCAAACAGAATAAACAAGAGTTTTCAGAATCTTTTAAATTTAAGTGTATCAATTTCAGTTTTAACCAAAGCTGAATTACTAAATTTATATGGCAAAACAATTTCTATTTGAGGGACTCAAACAAAATTAAAATCTGGCCAACTTTCTAACTCTGAATAGTTAAAATGTACAAAATAAACTCCCACAAAAACCCAGAAATAGTGCAATTAATTATCAATTATATTCTAAAATAACCATGTCCAGACAATACATGAATGCAATTTTTTTTAAAAGTTAACAGTTGTCATCTTTACCAAATGTCAATATTCAACAAACGTGAAGTTGAATGAAAGCAGAAAAACATATTTACTTGGATACATCTGTGCCACATCAGAGCTAAATTTAGCTCTGCTTTGGGTCCCATCAGACCCCGAGAACAATATTAGGCTTTTTAGCTGATTAACTTTCCAGCAGCCAATGACTTTTTTTTCTGTCAGCTGTTTGTTCTGTGTTACAGTGGGCTTACCAAAGCATTTTCTTTCTTTTTTTTTTTGCTGGAAACGGTGCTGCTGAAAGCAGTTTCTTACAGATTAAGGTGTTTTTCTGTGTTTTTTTTTCACTTACATAAGCAGCAACATCTAGTTTGACATTTGCTATCCTTAACATTACATAGTCATTTGGTGACATTATTACTTGACTTATATTTTTTTGTGCTGGATTGTGATATAAGATGAAATCCATACTTTGAGCTCCAAGATGATGTTTTGCAGGTTCAACACAGCTAACTGTCGTCTGCTAAATATGAGAACAGACAGCAGAGGGGCAACATCAAACTAAAGTTACTCAGTCTTTGTTCCTTTTTTGTGCTACTAAACACATAATACTATAATAACACTATGATAATACTATGCCTATAAGATAACTACTTTTGCTATATTCAGAGCTAACGACAACATTGTCATTTTACAAAACATGGCTACGGGTACTGACACTCTCTTACCCAGGTGTCATGCCTTAACCCTCGACTGTTTGGCATTTCACATTCTCTCACATGTTTTTTATGTCCATACATCTGTATGTTTTAAAATAATCATTTATGTTCAACAGTGTCAAAGGCTGTTTTTTAATCTATAAGTACTCCACTGGTATATTCCCCAATATCAATTGCTGTTGCTGTGTTATCAGTAAACTCTAAGGAACTTTATTGTAACCATGGTCAACAAAAAAAGAAAAATAATCAAAACAATATTATTATAGTATCTACAGAAAGTTTAAAAAAATAATTTAAGTAATATTATCAGCTAAATTCATAAATAACTTTGCTTGTTGTGTGTCTTTTTATTTGTTTTTTATGGCAAATAAATCTCAAAATTCAGTCAAGTTCCTTAGAGTCCAACTGTAACGACAAAAGCACTGAAAAAGAATAATTACACAGTACAATATTTTCATATGTGCCTAAATTAAACATCAGTATATCATCCTTAAATATTACTGTCAGCATCAGTTCAATGCCAGTGTAGCAACCCAACAGCATCCTCGGTTCTTCCAGAGCCAAAAAATTGATGTCAATTTCTGTAATGCTGCCTATGCCCAAAGTATTAGTATGCTTATACTTATATTATCATTGACAGTATTTTCCTTGATTTGGCTTCACCTCCTTGGCTGTCAAGTTCAGACATATTTCTGTTTATCAGAGCAGTAACCTACAGACATCGCTCCCATAAAGTGCCTCATGACTGACTCAGCATAAGGCTTCAAACCTCTTTGAAAATGTACAACTAATTATTGTTGGCTGTGCTGCTGACTGATCCCTTTCCGGCTTTCGCCTCCAAACAGGCTTTCTTGTGCAGAGCACTGCAGGTTTTAAGTGTTCTAAGCTTCCATTTTCCTGCTTGGCTGAATTGCTTGCTAGTTTTTTCTGTTGTCCCTTTTATGGGGAAAAACATGTAACCCTAACATTGGATATAAATGTAGTCATATTATATACTCACATTTTGTATCTATGCAGGTTCCTGAAAGCACTCAAAAATGATGTGAAGTGCGCAGACAAAACAGTTGTAAAAAAATTGTTTTAAAAGAAAAATAATAGTAAAAAAAAAATAAATGCAGATGCCTGCATTTATTGTATTACACAATAAATGAAGCAAGTAAAAATTGTCTTGTGTTTTCTTATGTGGCAACATATAATTTCACTTATTGTCACATGCACCTCTACACAGTCAGTTAATCTCGCTGACATCTCAGTGATTTATTTCTGTAGGCAATTGTTCAAGTTTACTCAACTCAACAGATATTTAGCATATTTTTAATTATTAATACATTTTTGTGAAACAGAAATGAGTTTGATCATATGTTAAACTTTCCGTGGTTAATGGCAAACACCATTATGGGGCTTTTAGCTCAGTAGTGCATGAAGCTGGTATGTACTCATAGCTTAGTGCAGCTGAGCAGACTGTATTCTCTTTGAAACCCTGTTCGTGTAACCATTGGAACTGAGGCACGGGTGATGTCATTGCAATGCAATCCACCACGTCCAGATTATCTTTTGAAGCTGCAACAGGAAAGGGGGAAGCAGGCTGAATTTCCTCCCCTTCTAGCTGCAGTCTAAGTGCGTGCACTGTTGTCAAGGTCGTGATGGGTTTAAGTAACCCCCACACTGAGAGAATTTATCACTGGCTCTGCAGTTTTACCTTTTTAAGAAAAATACATGTATCTGCACTAATCATTATGTGAATATAAATGGAAAGATTAGGCTGTTTTGTTCCATTCATTTACTGTCTGCTCTATTCCTGAGAGCTGGGACTGTCTGGCATGTTGTTATTACGCCTTGTGGTGGAATTTCCCACAGCAGCAGGACTCACTTGCCTCTGAGATCACAGCTGAGAGGAGACATGATGATGAACATGATTCACATAAGCATGGAGTTAGGTATAGGGGCAACACCAGGGTTTTCTGGTTTTTTAAATCAATAGTAAGGATTCATTGGTTCTCAAATCTCCTTCAACATATTGTGACAAACGACTCAATAGCAAAACAATCACTTAATGGTGAGCAATTGCAAAATACCTCTATTTCATAGCACTGTCAGTGTGTCGTAACTGTAGGGTTTTAGAAATGGCAGGATAGTGGCTAATTCTTAGGATGAATATAGGACATGCCCGTGGTTGATATGTGTTATTATATTTCATTTAATCACACTGCAAAAATGTGATATGAGGTCAAGAGCTTGAGTCAGAGGAGGGGTGGGGCTGAGTCAGACATCTGTGTTGGCTGGTGAGGATAAGCTCTATTGGCGCTTATGCTTCTCCCAAGGAGTTCCAAGTATTGACAGAGGTCAAAGTTTGCATATGGTCCAATTATGTGCTCACTTGTCCCATTCATTCAATAAATTTCCTTGATGTGTTTGGTTGGACTGGTTACTGTCATAAAATGATACGTTACTGCATATTATCAGAAACACATAAATGCAATGTGAATCTGTGCCCCAGTTTTTGCTGCTCTTATTGTCAGCTTAGCTCTGTCTTCCCTGCAGAAACCTTGTCATCATCGTTTTATCTGGACTCAGCTGTTTTCCCCCTCTGGCTCCCAGCGTAATGACCTTTCTCTTCCAGCCAGCAGACAAGAGTCACTCCCCCATTTCTCCATTGTAGGCTGAAAAACTCATCTCATCGAGTGGGGCATTATGTCAC